ATGTTGTTAGTGTGATGCAAGAGACGTAGCACTCCCTGTGCCAGATGAAGTAGCAACCAAAATTTGTCTCCCGCCTGATGTTCGCAACCGACCCGGCAGGCCAAAGAAAATTCGGATTAAGGGTGCGTTCGAGGCCGCCATGGCGAGTAAACGTCCTCGGAAGATCCCCAAATGTGGTAACTGTGGCCAAGGCGGACATAATCGCCTAACTTGTCGAGCTTAGTTGACAAATCGAAAACCTTGTATTTGTACTATTATAGACTGCAATAATCCGCTTGAAAACCTTGTTTTATGTACTTGTAAATCTGGAACTTGTTTTACCTAAACTCTACTATTTTACAATAATAAATCTACCAATCATGCTATAAATCTACCAATACTGGCATAAATCTACCAATCATGTTATAAATCTACTATTCATGGAATAAATCTACCAGTCATGTTATAAATCTACCAATATTGCAATAAATCTACCAATCATGTTATAAATATACCATTCATGGAATAAATCTACCAATCATGTTATAAATCTACAAAGCAGGTTCCTTTTACAGCCATGGCGATTCGCTTTAAATTCCAAAACACAAGCGACGTCTAAATTCCAAAAGACCACCAAAGAGGCTGGCTATGAGTAATAAATCGGCCAAAATACAACATCCGATACCAAAAGTCTACCAATTAGTTTGGATCTGAGTATTAAATCTACCAAAAAACGATCTCAGATCCCAAAGGTCTACCAAACGAAGATCTCAGTTAGCGGAGTCTGTCTGTAAACCGTACTTGTCATCAAATAAACTTCGAGGGTTAGGATCAGACATCCGAGATTCTTCTGCTTCATGTACCTCATCAAAAATCTCAGCTGCGTATTTCATACGAATGAGAGGCATGTTGCTATCTTTCAGCTGGTCCCATTTATGGCACAAAGCCAAACACTCGATGGTCTTCAAAGTAAAGACGCCACAATCACCTGATAACAAGTACCCGATAATTAGTTAAAAGTCTACCAAATAAAAATACCAAATCTACAGAGCTGCATTGCACCTGTCTGTCTGTTCAGTGCCGCTGTTTTATACATGTAGATATGAAACTGCCCCTCCTTCATACCCTTCTTGAGCTCCGGTGGTGCCATATGTTTCAACAACAGCGGAATCATCCTTGCGTAGGGCTTGACAGACTCCTCCACCTCGCCTTTTCTGTATAAATCTGGAATGCAATCAAACACTCGGATCTTTTTTTTGGGAATGTCGACCTCAACGGCTACCCAATGTTCGTTGTTCACGTTGTGGGCGATATACACGAAATCAACATCTGTCCCCCATTTCTTGTGTGTAGGCAAGTAATGGTCGTAGTGACCGTTGGCAACGTCCAAATAACCATCACTGAATAACCAACTCTTCTCGT